GTTGGGGTTTCCTTGGGACCCTCTTGGGCCGACTTGGGGCCCTCTTTGCCGTATGGTGGGTGTCTGGGGGCTGTTGTGGTGCCATCTTAGCGCCGGCGTTGCTGGGTCCCTCGGCAGGCCCTCTGGAGCCGTCTGGTGGCCGTCTTGTATGCCTCTTGGGCCCTCAAGGGGTCCTCTTGGGTCATCTTTGGTCCCTCGTGGGGGCCTCCTGGGTCGTCTTGGGGCCAACGTGGAGGCTTTATGAGACGTCTTGGGCTAACGGAAGCTCGAAAACAAGAACATGCGGAACTCATTCAACAGCCATTGAGGGACTGCTTGTGGCAGTTTCGCGCCCTGTTGGAGGTCCTGCGGTCTCTCCGTTGGGCCCCTTTGGATATGCATCTTGGGCAGTCTTGAGGCCAGAGTCGGCCTACTCGCGGCCATTTTTGTCCCGTGTTCGATGCCTCGTTGGCCATCTTGGTGTCCTGGGTTGCCTGCATGGGCCGTCTTTTGGGAGTTCGGAGCGCGGGCCCGTGGGTTTTTTGTTTCGTTCACGGGGGATCGCTGGCCTCGGGAGCGCGGGCCCATGGATTTGTTTTTTCTGCGGGGGGGGGGGGGGGCGTGTCGTGGGCTCGGCCTACTCGCGACCAATTTTGTCCCGTGTTCGATGCCTCGTTGGCCATCTTGGTCTCCTGGGTTGCCTGCATGGGCCGTCTCTCGGGAGCTCGGAGCGCGGACCCGTAGTTTTTTCGTTCACGGGGGATCGTTGCCTCGGGAGCGCGGGCCTTTCTGCGGGGGGGGGGGGTCGTGGGGTGGGCTCGGGATGGGGAGGATGCAGGCACCACGTCGTGAGCAGCAGGAGGAGAAGGACGAGGGGGGAGGGGGAGGGGGAGGGGGGGGGGCGGAGGAGGAGGAGGGGGCGGAGGAGGACGAGGAGGACGAGGAGGAGGAGGAGGAGGAGGAGGAGGAGGAGAGGAGGAGGAGGAGGAGAGGGGGAGGGGGAGGGGGAGGGGAGAGGAGAAGGAGGAGGAGGAAAAGGAGGAGGGGGGGGGGGCGTGCGTGACTGGACTGCACAGAAACCGTAATGAGCAGCACCTGGCGTTCTAGCACTCGCGCGGGCACGTTGTCGGATGACCTCCTCCACACGCTCCTCTCGGCGGCGGCGAGCTGCAGGGGGACGTGGGATGGAGAAGGCCTTCTCGGAAGTCTCGGAAGTCCCCCGGTCTTCTGAGACGTTTTGAAAAACTGCTCCGAAGACAAAGAACTTGTCTGAGAAGGCCGGAGGGCATCCGAGAATCCGCGCCGCTTTCTGAGAGGGCAATATCCTACTCGTTTCCCCCCCCCATCGCTCGCCGCTGATACTCTCCATGCAACGCAATGCAACTCAAGGCAAAGCAAGCATGCACAAAAACCAAGGAATGTCATTTCACAGCAATGCGAAGCAATGCGAAGCAATGCAAATCACACAATCCGAAGCAGAGCGTACAATGAAACACAGCAAGACAGCAACACAATGCAATGCAAAACAACACATCACACTTCAACGCAACGAAAAACAATGCGAAGCAAAGCAACGCAATGCAATGCAAAGCAATGCGATTGCAATGCGCAGCAACGCAAAGAAGTGCAACACAATGCAAAGCCATGCATCACGGTGCAAGGCAACGCAACGCAATGCGAAGCAACGAAATGCAACAGACTGCACAGCAATACGAAGCAACGCAAAGCAATGCAACGCAATGCAAAGCAGTGCGAGCACAACGCAAATCAACCCAAAGCAATGCAATACAATGCAAAGCAAGGCATCACGCTGCCAAGACGCAGGGCACTGCGAAGCAGTGCCATGCGATGAAACCAGCCTCCCGCGGGGCCGCAGGGCACTCTGGCCTTCAGGATTTTGTCCAGCCCTCCGGGGGGGGGGTCCTGGGGAGGTATTGTGAGATCGAAGTGATATGGTGACCTTAGTGGGCCCCGGAAACGGCAGGGCCGTTTTTCTCATCGTTTCCGAAACATTGTCCCTTTGAATATGGAAACGGCAAAAAAACGGCGACCCGGAACGGCAACAAAAACGGCTCCAGGATTGGAACCGGAGCGGGAACCCGCACAAGAACGGCGACGGAAATTAATGACAAAAAGTTGCAAACCCGAACCGGTAAAAAGCAGCCCTGCCGTTGCCAGGGCCCACTAAGGGTGACCCCCCACAAGGGAATAGGTTTCGGTTTCGAGTCGTGCGCGCGGACGGGCGAGGCGAAGTTGCGTGGGCAAGCGAGCGGACTGAACCTCGCCGTTGCTAGGGCGAAGCGTTGCCAATTGTTGCTGTCCCCTCCAGGTTTGGCCAGCGGAGGGAGGTTCGGGTTGGCTGGCGGTGGCTTGGGTGCGTTCCGATGGTGTTCCGATGCTGTCCTGATGGTGTCTCGTTGGTGTCCCGATAGTGTTGCGATTTCCCGATGGCGTCGTGGTGTCCCGATAGTGCCCCGATGGTGTCCCAATGGTGTTCCAATGGTGTCCAAATGGTGCCCAGATGGGTGTTTACATGGTGTCCCGATGGTGTCCACATGGTGCCCCGATGCTGTTCCGATGGTGTCCAAATTGTATCCTGATGGTGGTGTCCCGATGGTGTTTTCCATGGTGTCCCGATGGTGTCCGATAATGCCTCGATGTTGTCCCGATGAAGTCATGTATTTGCCCCCGCAGTGTCTTCAGGTGCTCCTCCCGAAATTGTTTCGATGGTGTCCCGATTGTACTTCGATGGTGTTACAGAGGTGCCCCAGTGGTCTCTAGATGGTCCTGTGGTTGTCCCGCGTTTGTCTCGCAATTGTCCAGATGGTTGTTTGAGGACTCCGATGGATGGTGGTTGCTAAATGTCACCATCATTACCATCAGCATTACCACTATCATCATCACCACGATCATCGCCATCATCCCAGCATCGCCGATGATGATCAGCCGTAACCGCAGCAGTCTGACTCAAGCACTCTGCAGGAGCTCTCGGACTACTCCACACGTCGCGCCTTTTCACCTTCCCCTTCTTGCCGATGATGACACTCGCCATGACGCATCGTCACCAAGACCGCTATCGTGCATCGTCATCAGCTCGCGAGCGCATCACAGGAATCGTCACCATTACAATCATCGCGGATGTCATCACTTGGCCCCCCCCCCCAAACAACATCCTTCTCACCCGCAGGGTGGGCAGGCCAGGGAAGTTTTAGAATCCTCCGAATCCATCTGGATTGACAGACCTCCCCAGGGTGCCCCAGTCCTCCCCAGGGACCTGCTCAGACGTCTCCTGCCCCTGCCGCGACGGCTATGGCACGGATGCGCTCGAGCGGCCCGGATCTCGCGGACCCAACACGTGCACGTGTCTTGCCTCCTCGGTCCGCGGACGAATGAATTGGTTGTAATCAGTTGCTCCGCGCGCTCGCCGGGGCGCGCAGCCTTGCCTCCTCCGTCCTCCTCCTCCCCTCCTCCTCTGCCTCTTCCGGCTTCCCTGCGCTCTGTTGTCACCCGTTCTTGCCGCTGGGCCCCCCATGGATGGTAAAACGTGCGCGTGTCTGTGCCCATCGCTCATGGCCACCCCGTGAACGAACACCCGGAAGCCGTTGTCTGCCCTCGGGGCCGCCTATAGCGACAGCTTCGGCATGAAGAGCCGGCCTCGGGGCAAGAGGCGAGAGCCTCGGGTCAAAAGGGAGGGGGAGGAGGAGGAGGAGGAGGAGGAGGAGGAGGAGGAGGAGGAGGAGGAGGAGAAGGAGGAGGAGGAGGAGGAGGAGGGGACGCGCCCATCACCACAGAGCCCTCACGCTCAGGCCCATTTCGGGTCCAGATCTTGGGCCTTCGTGGATGCAGCCCAGGAATGGAGCAGATCTTCACGTTCCGCTTCTCCCCTTATTTCGGTTCTCATGGAGGGCGAAAGAAAGTCAGGGGGGGTGATACGTGTCACGACGCTCTCCTAAGTAGTGCTCTGCTCATTCTGATTCACATGCGACGGGATGCATACATAGCCATTTGGGCTCAATTGCGTCAGTCAGAAATGGATTTGCGCGAATGCCCTACAGATGCGATCAGCCACGATTCAAGTTGACCGCCCGTTGTTCGGCAGTGATGGCGCACCGCCATGCGCGCAGCAGGCCGCTCTTCAGAGCCAGACGGAGCCCAGGGGACGATGCACACCTAACGGGCACCCGCTGCATCAGACGACGGCCAGGTGCGAGGGGACCTGCGACAATTGCGGCTGCTACATATTGCAGGGTGCCTCCATTCTGGCCTGCGAGTGTGAGTGGTGGCAGTGTTCGGAGTGCCGCGTGCACGCCGCCTCCCCGAGCTCGCGGCTGGACGAGAAGCTGGCCTTCTTTCGCAGTCGACTGGGCGAGTTTCCCGGGGTGCGCAGCTGCACCACGAGAGCCAGGCCCATGGCATCTGGCCACTCGTCCCCAAGCCTTGCGCTGCCTGCCAGCCCCGATCCGGGCACCTGCTGGCCGCCGCCCGTGCCCAGGGGCGCCGCGCAGGAGCCGCTGGCAGCGCCCTCCGACAGGCCGTCCCGCAGCCCGGGACCGCCACGGTCTTGGACCGCGCACCCGCCAGCTCGACCACTCGTACGAGTGACCTTTCGCCGGAGTGACCTTTGGTGCGGGCCCAATGGGGCCCTCCGCATGCCGAACGCGATACGGCAGTGGCGTCTTGCGCGCTTGTACTTGGCCCCCCGGGCGTCCTCCAGATAGCCGCACATTAAAGGTTCCTCTTGCCCATGGTCACTCCTGCGTGTAGCCGACCAGCGGCAACGTGGCCGGCTTCTCCCGAGACGCCCCCTGGAGGCGGCGACGCCGACGCTGCGCTGGCCGCTCGGGCTCGGCAGGCATGGACCCGCGGCGCAGTGGAGCCGGTGGCGCAGCCTGCCGCGCCGGGCGGCGCCGTGGGCAGGGGGCACGGGCCGCGAGGCCGTGAGTCGGGCGTGTCCCTACTGGAGGAATGCTCCAGAAGAGTAAAACAACTAAAACAAATCAGGGGCTGATTTTTTGGGGGGCATGCCCAGCCTGACGCGAGGCCTGACCGAGCTGGAGCAGCACCTGCAGCAGGTCAAGGCCGAGGTCCTGGCAGGCAGGCGGGGGCCGCAGAGCTCCCAGTGCCCGCAGCGCCCGCCAGGGCACGAGGGGCCGGCAGGGGCGAGCCGTGCGGCCGCTCTGCTGGCCCCGGGGCCGAAGCCATCCGCCTCCGCCTCCTCCGCCGCCTCCTTCTCCTCCTCCTCCTCCTCCTCCTGCCCCTCCTCCTCCTCCTCCTCCTCCTCCTCCTCCTCCTCCTGGTCCTCCTCCTCCTCCTCCTCCTCCTCCTCCTCCTCCTCCTCCTCCTCCTCCTCCTCCTCCTCCTCCTCCTCCTCCTCCTCCTCCTCCTCCTCCTCCTCCTCCTCCTCCTCCTCCTCCTCCCACAGGAGGCGCGGGGGCACGGGGCGGAGACGCCCCTTGCAGGGCTGCCCTCGAGTCAGCGCGTGCAGCAGGAGGTCGGCTCGGGGTCCCCTGTCGGCTGGGGCGAGTCGCTCGAGCACCTCCGGCGCGAGCTGTCTCCGGATGCTCCGAGGCATGGGGAGGGGGCCCAGATCGACGGTCTGAAGCAGGCGCTGGGGAAGGCCGAGGAGCACAGTGCGGAGCTGCTCGGCGAGAGGGCCGCTGCGACGGAGGCCTTGCAGCAGGAGCTCGTGCTGGCCAGGCAGGCGCAGCGGTTTGAGGAAGACTCCCTCGCTCTGGGCGCCTCTGTCGAGCACTTGCGGCACGAGCTGCAAGTGTCTCGAGACGCGCAGCGGCATGGGGAGGGGGCCCTGGCCAGCCAAGCGGAGGAGATCAGAGATCTGAAGCAGAGTCTGGGGAAGGCCGAGGAGCACAGTGCGGAGTTGCTCGGCGAAAAGTTCGCTGCGACGGAGGCCTTGCAGCAGGGGCTCATGTTGGCCAGGCAGGCACATCAATTTGAGGAAGACTCTCTCGCTCTAGGCGCCTCTCTCGAACACTTGCGGCACGAGCTGCAAGTGTCTCGAGACGCGCAGCGGCATGGGGAGCGGGCCCTGGCCAGCCAAGCGGAGGAGATCAGAGATCTGAAGCAGGCGTTCGGGAAGGCCGAGGAGCATAGCGCGGAGTTGCTCAGCGAAAGGGCCGCTGCGACGGAGGCCTTGCAGCAGGGGCTCATGTTGGCCAGGCAGGCACAGCAATTCTTGACGCTTCGCGTGTCCCCACCAGCCACTGCTCGCCGCCGGCGCTTCCGCCTGCGGCTGTAAACAAGTGTCCCCCCCAGCCCATCCGAAAACGATGCCCAGGCGAATTACGGTGATCAGGGAAGTGAGGGAGCATACAGAGTAGCAAAGGGCTGGGGGACCCGTCTTACCCAAGAGGGCGAGGATTGAGGAGGAGTCGGAGGAGGATGAGGAGGAGGAGGAGGGGGAGGGGGAGGAGGGGCAGCGGTGGGAAAAGTGGGAGGAGGGAGGAGGGAGGAGGGGCAATAGGCGGATGATGAGGAGGAGGGGGAGGAGGAGGATGAGGAGGGGGAGGAAGAGAAGAGGAAAGGAGGAGGAGGAGGAGGAGGAGGAGGAGGAGGAGGATGAGGCTGATAAAGTGGAGGAGAAGGAGGAGGAGTAGGCCGACAAGGAGGAGGAGGAGGAGGAGGAGGAGGAGGAGGAGAAAGATGAGGAGGAACAAACACAATGACGTGCACAAGAGCCTCCTAGGATGTCCCTTGGAAGTTGTTTTGGAGTCCTCTTGGAGCGCCTGGGGGATTCTTGGATGCCTCGGGGATCCTCTTGAGGCCTCTTGGGGGTCTAGGGAGCCTCTTGAGGGCCTCTTGTGGACCTCTTGGGGCCTCCTGGGCGCCTCTTCAGGCCCTCTTGGAGCGCTCTTGGGGCCATCTTGGAGGAGACCGATTTAGCGTCCCCTCTCGGGAGCCTCTAAAATCGCCTCTTGGACCCCTCTTGGGACGCTCTTGGAGTGCTCTTGGGCGCTCTTGGGGCTGTCTTGGGGCCATCTTGGGCCCCTCTTGGGGCCCTCTTGGGCCCTCTTGGAACCATCTTGAGGCCTCGAATGGCCATCGGAAGCGAAAAGGCGAGAAAGCAAACAACAATGCTTTTCCATAGGTTTTGGAGCCATGTTGGCCTCTTGGGGGGCCTCCTTGGGAGGCTACGTGGCTAATTGGAGTCGTCTTGGGGCGGTCTTGGGGCCTTTGGGGGCATCCTCGGGGCCATCTTGAGGCGTCTTGGGTTGTCTTGAGCCATCTTGGAGGTCATCTTGGGCTCTCCGAGGCCCTCTTGGAGCCATCTTGGGCCATCTTGGACGCTCCAACTACCAGCGAAACCACCCGTCCAGGTACAGGGGAGGGGGTTAGGGGAGGGGTAAAGCCTCCCCGAAGGGGAAGAAGGGAAGATGGAAGAGGAAACTCCCTGAACCACCTACGCCCAGAGGGCTGGTGGGATTTAAGGAAGACTCCCTCGCTCTAGGCGCCTCTCTCGAGCACTTGCGGCACGAGCTGCAAGTGTCTCGAGATGCGCAGCGGCATGGGGAAGGGGCCCTGGCCAGCCAAGCGGAGGAGATCAGAGATCTGAAGCAGAGTCTGGGGAAGGCCGAGGAGCCTAGCGCGGAGTTGCTCGGCGAGAGGGCCGCTGCGACCGAGGCCTTGCAGCAGGGGCTCATGTTGGCCAGGCAGGCGCAGCAATTTGAGGAAGAGTCCCTCGCTCTAGGCGCCTCTCTCGATCACTTGCGGCACGAGCTGAACGTGCCTCGAGATGCGCTGTGGTATGGGGAGGGGGCCCTGGCCAGCCAAGCGGAGGAGATCAGAGATCTGAAGCAGGCGCTGGGGAAGGCCGAGGAGCATAGCGCGGAGCTGCTCGGCGAGAGGGCCGCTGCGACCGAGGCCTTGCAGCAGGGGCTCATGTTGGCCAGGCAGGCACATCAATTTGAGGTGGACTCGCAGGCTACTCAGGGAGTTGCAGCAAGGCTCCCGTCGGTCGAGCAGGAGGGGCAGCCGGTGCAGCGGTCCCCGACGCAGGCGATCGCGGAGCGTGATTCCGTGCAAGAACAGGAGGCGCAGCAGTTGGGCGAGCTGTCCCTGACTGGCCACGAGTCGTGGCTCCGAGGCTCGGGGGCGGCAAAGAGGGGGGTGATGACTAGGGGGGGTGGATGTCATGGCGTGGGCCATGATATTTCCCCTGATTTCATGGCGCCTCTTCTCATTTCATTACGTCCCTGGCCCCCCCGCTGGGCCGCGCACACGACGCCGGTCATGATTTGCACCCCCCCCCTCTTGGACACCGCCTCTTGGCCGCTCCCGAGAGGCCTGAGGCAGGAGCTGCAGGTCGTCAAGCTGCGGAACGAGGAGACCCTGACCATGTACGGCACAGCGGTCCGTGCGCTGCTGCAGGAGCTGCGTGGCGCCTACCGGCGTGGCGCGGAGGCGCGTGGCCAGGGCGCGGCCCTGGCCGAGCGCCTGAGGGAGGAGGTGGACGCCTCCCTGCAGGCGCAGCAGCTTGGCGTGGCGGCGCTGGCGGAGCGAGAGGCCTCCTGCGAGGGCGCCCTGTGCGAGCTGCAGGCGTCTCGGGAGGCACGGATGCGGGCCGAGGAGGCCCTCGAGGCGCACGAGAGGGCGCTCGAGGGCATGCGGCAGGAGCTCGGGGAGGCGCGCCGCGGCCCAGGGCGGGACCTCAGGTCTGTCGAGCAGCTCGGCGCGGAGGCGCTGGCCGAGCGGGACGCCCTGCTCGAGGCCGCGCGGCGCGAGCTGAGGCAGTCGCTAGGGCGTCGAGGCCTCGGCCAGCTCGAGGCGGCGCGTGCGCTGCGCCAGGGCGACGAGGCCTCGGCCAGCCGCCAGCTTGCGCTCGAGGGCCTCCAGCGGGACCTTGAGGCCGCACGGCAGCAGGGGTCGGCGGCGGCGGAGATGCATGAGGCCTCGCTCCTGTCAATCCGTCAAGAACTACAGCAGGCCCAGCAGGCGATGCAGCGGGGGGGCGAGGCGCTGGCCGGGCAAGAGGCAGCCCTGGAGAACTCGAGGAAGGGCCTGCAGCAAGAGCTCAGGTCGGCGGAGGCGGAGCTGGCCGAGCGGGACGCCTCGCTCCAGAGCCTGCGGCTCGAGCTGCAGGGGCCGCGGAGCGGGCAGCGGCGTGGGGAGGAGGAGCGTGCCCACCTCGAGGAGGCCGTCGAGCATCTGCGGCAGCAGCTCCTGGCCGCACGCCAGCACGGCCTGGAGCTGGTGGAGCTGCAGCAGGAGCTGCAGCAGGAGCTCGAGCCCATCGGCCGGCCAGGGGATCTCCGCGGAGAGGCTGTCGCCGATGGGGGCGGCTTGCTCGGAGAGGGCCTGCAGCACGAGCCAGGCCTGGTCGGGACGGCACGGCCGCCAGGCTCCGAGGCGCCGCGTGATGGGGACGCTGCGCTGGAAGCCCTGCGGCGAGAGCTCCGCGAGGCGCAGCTGGTCGGCCGCGCGGTGGCGGCCGAGCAGGGCGCCTCGATCTTCTTCCTGCAGCAGGAGCTCCGGGAGGCCCAGCTCGAGGCCCTGGCCGGCCGGGAGGCCGCGGCGGGAGCACTGCCAGGCGGGTTCCCCGCAGCGCCCGGGCACGGTGCCCGGGAGGGCGCCGACGAGCTGCGGGCGGCGGACGGGCTGCGACAGGAGCTCCAGGAGTTCCAGGCGCTGCTGCTGGGCGCGGAGGCCTTCGCCCAGGGCCAGGCCGGGGCGCGGTGACCCTGCCGCGGGAGGGCGCGTTGGCCCCGCGAGTCGCCGCTGCGGCAGCGGTGCCTGCGGCAGGGGCCTGCGACGCCGCTCGGGCCGAGCGCCGTGTGGTGCGGCGGCGCCCCGGTGGCGCAGGGAGCGCTCGCGCCTCCGCGGCCTTCCAGGCCTCGGGAGCGGGCCCCTCGCCCGAGGGCGCCCGAGATCGCCTCTCTCACCACCCACCAAACAACCCCAACCCAACCCGAAGGTCTCGATCTGCCCTCCATTTCCAGTTGGGGGGGTCGGGGAACATCGAGAAAACGCAGATGGAACCCGTACCCCCCCCAACCCGCAATTCGGGTCTTCGGGTTGGGTTGGGGTTCCTCTCCGAGCACGGTCAATGACCACCGCCACCAGGCGGTCGTGGAGGCGTCGCCTGGTCGGGAAAAGGGTGCGCGAGTCGTGTTGGTGCAGCTCGGCTCTTGCGGGGGCCCGCTGTCGCAGCCCCACCTGCGAGGACTGCCAGGGCCCCCACCCCGCCTCGCGCCCGAGGGTCGGAAGAGGGGCCGTCGATACTTAACGTTTTGGTGGCGTCTGTACGTTTTTTTTGCGAGGTGGGCCGGCTTTTATACACCACCAGCAGCGTTGAAGAGGCCAGTTCTGTTTCGGGAGTTTCCCCTCCCGTGGCGCCCGTGAGCAGCGCTGGACTCCTGTTCACTGTGGGGTCGCGGCCTCGTCTGACACGGCGCTAAATTATGTCAGTTTCTTGACGGGGCGGGTCGGGCAGTGGTGGTCGGGTTCGTATCCTCGGACCCAGACCTCCGAGTAGATGTTCTTGTGAGCCCGCGGCCCCAGAGGTCCCGACCCCTTCCCTTGGGGTATCGGGCCAAACGAAAGGGGGAAATGGGGAGAGGGGGGGTTACGAAATCTGCTGCATGCAACTGGTTTCGGCCCTGCCGCCGGGCCCATTCC